TAAAGAGTCCTGCTGCAGTGCAGGAGACCTGGGTTCATTCCCTGAGTCAGGAAGATCCCCTGGAGAAGGGTATGGCAACCTAATCCAGTATGCTTGCCTGGGAAATCGCATGGACAGAGGAGCCTGGTGGGCTGCGGTCCATGGGGCTGCAAAAGAGCTAGACACGACTTTGTGACTAAACACCACCACCACCACCGCCTATCTAAACAGACTATGCAAGGTTTGGTGAATTCTTCAGTTAATGTTATACAGTGTTATTATAGTAATTAAAAGTGTTTTTTAACTATTAGAAGCAGCTATATGCTTTTCTATTTTGGGCTTCCATAGCCTGTAGAATGGAGAAGGAAATGGCAGCCCACTCCAGTATTCTTGCCTGGAGAATCCCATGGGCAGAGGAACCTGGGGGGCTTAAGTCCATGGGATCACAAAGAGTCGGACATGACTGAAACGACTTAGCACAGCACACAGCACATAGCCTGTAGTGAGGGATCAGGGGACATTTTTTGTGGTGAGCCTGGTGGGATTATTTGACTTTTAAACTTTGCGTGTGTGTGCGTGCGTGTGTGTCTATGTATATGCAATTGGAGTAAAAATAAACCATGGCAGTGTAGAAATGAAATGAGACAAATAGTGAGTCAGGGATAAATGCTCAAAAAATGGTTCTAGGCATTTGGTATATTGAAATATACTGAGAAGTATCTGGGAAATGTGGTATATGGGAAAAATTAAGTTAGATCCATGCAACAAATGCAAAATAACTTCCAAATGGATTGAAGATAAGAAAGAATAGTAAAAGCCAAACTGTACATCTTTGAAGAAAATTAGAGATTACCTTTAACATCTTGAGGTAAGATTAAAAAGTGCAAATCACAAGGAAAACAGTAAGTTTGACCAAGTTAATGTACAAGCTTTCTGTTCAGTAGTGCTCCAAAGAAAATATACAGGTGGTCCAATAAGGAAATTAGAAACACCCAACATCACTAATCATTAGAGAAATACAAATTAAAACCACAGTGAGATACTACTTTACACCCGTTAGGGTGGGTCTAAAATAATATCAAGAAATAGAAAATAGCAGTTTTTGGCGAGGATGTGGAGAAATTGGAACCCTTGTGCAATGCTGAGGGGATTGTAAATGGTGTGGCCACTATAGGGAAGGGTATAGAGGTGCCTCAAAAACATAATGATCTAGCAATTCTACTTCTGGGAATATACACACAAAAAATTGATGACAGGGAAGGAACAGGTATCTGTACATCCATTTTTCTAGCAGCATTACTTACAGTAGCCCAAATCTGGTAATAACCTACATATCAATCTATGGGTGAATAAACAAAGTGTTGTGTAGTTCAGTCACTCAGTCATGTCCGACTCTTTGTGACCCCATGGACTGCAGCATGCCAGGCTTCCCTGTCCATCACCAATTCCTGGAGCTTACTCAAACTCATGTCCATTGAGTCAGTGATGCCATCCAANCAGATGCCATGATCTTAGTTTTCTGAATGTTGAGCTTTAAGCCAACTTTTTCACTCTCTTGTTTCATTTTCAAGAGGCTCTTCAGTTCTTCTTTGCTTTCTGCCATAAGGGTGGTGTCATCTGCGTATCTGAGGTTATTGATATTTCTCCCAGCAATCTTGATTCCAGCTTGTGCTTCCTCCAGCCCAGCGTTTCTCATAATGTACTCTGCATATAAGTTAAATAAGCAGGGTGACAGTATACAGCCTTGACATATTCCTTTCCTGATTTGGAACCAGTCTGTTGTTCCATATCCAATTCTAACTGTTGCTTCTTGACCTGCATACAGATTTCTTAGGATGCAGGTCAGGTGATCTGGTATTCCCATCTCCTTAAGAATTTTTCACAGTTTGTTGTGATCCACACAGTCAAAGAATAAATTATAACAAATTTGCTCTAGCAGTCAAACACTAATAATACAATAATATAATAGTAATATGTTAATAATATAAATATAATACTATAACAGTAATTATATATTATACTATAATATAATTGTATATTATAGAATAAAATCAATTTAATAATATATTAATATTTCACTGTATATACAAAAGTTTCATATATGCATACAAATGTATATATTATTAATGTTCTGGGTTAAAAAGGAAGGAAACTCTGAAACATTCTGCAGTATAGATGTACTTTGAATACATGCTGAGGGAAATAAACCAGCCACAAAAGGACAGATACTTCATGATTTTATTCATTTGAGGTGTTAGAGCAGTCAAACTTGTGGGCAAAAAAGTCAAATAATGCTTACCAGGGGCTGGGGTAAAGAGAAATGGGTAGGTATTGTTTAATCAGTACACAGTTACAGTTTGTGAGATGAAGATAGCCCTGGAGATGGAGGATGATGATGATTTCTAAATAGTGTGAGTGTACTTAATGTCACTGATCTGTTCTCTTTAAAAATGGTTAAACTGGTGAAAAAAAAAACAAAAAACAGGTTGAACAGAATAAGCAAGGTGGAGAAAAATCCACATAGTTTGCATAGTTTGGTACCAGTTATATTAATATAAAGTTATATAACCTACAAAAATACTCTGTACAGATCATAAATATGAACTTGATAAGCAAATACAGGATAGTGGTTGCATCCAAAGACAGAAGACATAAAGCAATCAAATTTGAGAGGGAGTATCCAGGGAGCCGCCATCATATATGTAATGCTATCTTTAAACTCTACCATAGACATGGTAAAATTCTGGGTTTGACAAGTCTGGGTACTGGTGTGTAGGTATTTATAATGCCATTGTTTTTACTACTCTGTATGCCTAAAATTTTTTCTTCTTTCCTGAAGACAGTAGCTTGTAGAACTGAAAGAATTCTTATAAAAGCCTAATTTTTAGAAAATGACCTTTATTCTCTCAGCTCTTTTTCCTGACTCACTTAAACGGTTTCTCTGGGCATTTTTCTTGGTTCTCATCTCTGAAATTGCTCTTCCCCTTCCTGCTGAGTTGTTTTGGATGATGGGCCAAATTACTTATTCTTCAGTTCTGGATTGGCTCATATTATTGGGTCACTTTCTTTTCTGGACACCAGATGTCCCCAAAATGATGCTGGAGATGATTCTTCTTTGAAGGTTTTTATGATAAACTGGTTTCCAGAAGTCCTTCTCTTTCATTTGACTCTGTTTCCTTTCCTTGAAGCATATTCAAGTTTCTAACTCTTGCTGGAATACTGTATTCAACACACAATTTATGAATTATTGGCCATGTGAGGGGTGTGTGTGTGTGTGTGTGTGTGTGTGTGTGTGTGTGTGTGGTGGCATGATTAAAATCTTATCTATGCTAACTCATTAGCTGTCTCTAACATCTTCATCTCTTTTCTTTTTCAAAGTCTTTACCCTTTACAAGTCTCCCCTTCTCTCCAAATGGGAATAATCTTTCAGAATCCCATCAATATACTTTTATAAATCAGGCATTCATAAACATAATTTATAGCAAAACAAAGGTAATCTAATGGGCCTTAAGGACATTGCTTAACTTCTCCTGGGTCTCATTCTTCATTTCTAGCATATGGTGATACCTGCTCAGTCAGCCTCACTGGATTCTTAACAAAGACTATTTAAATTATGCAGATGAAAGCACTTGGAAATTTTTAGTATTACTATGTGCATATTAATGCACATTTCTTAAGTGAACTTTAGCATGTAAAAAAATGGTAGACTATGAATGTTACATGTAGGCCTTTATAATAGTTCTCAAAATGTGATCTTCAGAGCATTGTCTCCTGGGAATGTAAATAGATGAAATGTGAGTAGTGCTATGGATAAAACATTGGGAAACACTGGGTTTAGTAAAGTTAGGCTTCTGTGCCTTTGTGCTCTCTTTATTCAGAGTATTTAGTAAGTTCATGTACTTTGTGAGCTAAAAAGATTATATCAACTTAAAAATACCCCTTTGGTGGAGGGTATTTAGGTACTGTGGGAGATACAACCCAAGATATATTTTATTACTCTGAGTCTTCCAGTTTAATTTTCTAAGCTATGATTTTGGCTTTTGTAATTCCCTTGATCTTTACTAGTAATAATATTGAAATGAAACCAAATTTATTTTACTTCTGGTGTAATATATATGGCTGTTTATATAGGAAAACAAGTAATTTAAACAATTACAACTAATTGTATTTTAGATTATTTTTTTCTGTTTTAGAAGGGCTTCTAAGTTGCCAAAATATGGAAAAAACTGTTTTTAAAGCTTGTTATACCTATGTAGTTATATTAAATACCTGGATATGCTTTTAAATAGGTTACACCTAAGAGGATAAAATCTAGAACACTGTCTTGAGAATGTTTCTAGTCACTGAATACTGAATTATTTGACATCTCAAAATCTCTAATAATATATGTGTGGATTCTGAGGTTATATTTAAATGAAAAAGTTTTCTTTAATTGATTTTCTTTCCATAATCTTTATGTAGCTAATGAACTGTTTAGATTTTTTTCATTTGTCCAGTTTTTTGCAACTAAAGCTCTTCTTTGCATAAAGTGAAAACTTCTTTTGAAATATCATATTATTAAACTGATTTAAACATTTTATTTTGATGATTCCATTTTAGGCTTTCTCTCAGTTATATTCTATTTAATTTTGCATGCATACATGTAAAATTTGATTTAATGATTTAACTTTATGATACATTTTCCCAATATTGATGTTCTGAATTTTGCCATATGAACCTTGTTTTATTTAATAAAATGTCATTGAAATTACCCTCCAAAATAAGGTACACCTAATTTGTTTCCTTTTTTCCTTTATTCTCATACATATAAAATTATTTGTGAGAATTTTAGACAGAAGTTATTTTTATTTAAGGAATAATGCTAGTTGAGTAATGATGTTAAATTGTAGGTCATGGGAAATTAATGAAAGGTCTCTTAATTTGAAGTATTGTATCTTTATTTGTCCAGTGATTATTTTGTAGTATGTGTCTTAAATTGTTCTTTTATTTCATATTTTGTTTTGCTGTTTTCGTTTTTCTAGCTTGTGACGAATGGAAAATACTACCGAAACCAAATCTTCATAGAGATGTCAACAGATTTGGTCACTCTGCAGTTGTCATTAATGGGTAAAAGAAGCATGTTTACCAGTCATACTACTTACGTATTTTGTTATTCTTTAAGCAAATTATTGTTTGTAATCAATGGCATTGTAGTTTTATGTATCGCTTCAATACCGTGGGAATAAATTTTGGTTCATTAACCGTTATCCTTCTTGCTTTTCTATTTAAATTTATTTAAGGGGCAGGGGCGTATCAGAGGAAGGGTGCTGAGACAGAGCTTCAGATACTCTGTGAAGTTTTCATCCTGCCTTAATTTCTTTTTCCAGAGATCAGATCATGAATGATTTCCCTAAAAAATCAGCCTGAAGTTATAGAAAGGCTAGCCACATATTTCTATTGAGGAGAGCAAGGGAAGTGAGAATAATTAGGTTCTCATTTTGGTTCTGTCATTACTGAATGTGTGATTTTTGACAAGCCACTTAACCTCTCTGGCTTTTTCATGCGTGCATGCTCAGTCGCTTTAGTCCTGTCCTATTCTTCGTGACGTTATGGACCATAGCCTGCCAGGCTCCCCTGTCCAATGGATTCTGCAGGCAGAAGTACCGGAGTGGGTGGCCATGTCCCCCTCCAGGTGATCTTCCCGACCCAGGGATCAACTTGCATCTCTTACGTCTCCTGCATTTGCAGGCGGGTTCTTTACCATTAGCACCACCTGGAAGCCCATCTGGCCATTAGTGCCCTTATATTCCCTGGGAATTTGGACTCAATGATCATTAAGTTACCTTCCTCCTGTGAGGTAGTGTGATTTTGCTATTTCTATAGCAAAAATTCATTAATGTGGACTCATGACAGTAAACAGCATGCTGGATCATCCATTAGCTTAAAATTTGTGATTCATAATGACATTTTTATAAGGTCATTTTATTACTACCTTATTCTAATTATGTAAAAATTATCCAATATGATACTAAAAATAAAACTCATCTTTAAATTTATTTTTAAAACTGATTATATACTTTTTGTAAGATTCCTGTTTTGTTTTTAATAGGTCCATGTATATATTTGGAGGATTTTCTAGTGTACTCCTAAATGATATACTTGTATACAAGCCTCCAAACTGCAAGGCTTTCAGAGATGAAGAACTTTGTAAAAATGCTGGTCCAGGAATAAAATGTATTTGGAATAAAAATCACTGTGAATCTTGGGACTCTGGGAATACTAATAATATTCTTAGAGCAAAGTGCCCTCCGAAAACAGGTGAAATATTTTTTTACTTCTTTTTTGACATAAAGCATCTCTACCTGGCTTGAAATGGAAGTGAATTCCTGCTCGTAAGAATTACTTTAATAGTTTTCAAAAATTAAAAACTCATAATCCTCTAATTAGGAATTCTAACATTTGAATTTGGCAGTGATCAATAATTAAATATTTTTCTTACCTATCTTTAGTTTTCCTTTTTGAATGTGTAATAGTAATATATCTCTGTGTAATAGTAATGTATCAATTTTGACATGTAACATGGCCATATATATGTATGAATTATTTTTGTATGTAAGTATAAAATTCTCTCAAATACATCCTTTCTTAGATATATTGTATGCTTCAAGGAAATAAAATGAAGTAATTTATTCTGCATTTGGTACTTTTTTTCTTCCTGAATTATTGTCAAACCATCCCATAAAGCTAAAACGCTTCTAGAATTTTGATGTCCTGTTATAACTCAATATTTCTTGTAAAACATTGAATAAATAATTCAAACTTATGAATGTGCATGCCAAGTTGCTTCAGTCGTGTCCAGCTCTTTGCAACCCTGTGGACTGTACTCCTCCAGGCTCCCTTGTCCTGGAGGATTCTCCAGGCAGGAAAAACAGAGTGGGCTGCCATGCCCTCCTCTAGGGGATCTTCCTGACCTCGGGCTCTAACCCGCATCTCCTATGTCTCCTCTTTTGGCAGGCAGGTTCTTTACAATTAGCGCCACCTGGGATGCCCTGATTTATGAAGAATTAATAGTAAATATTTATAAAGAATGATTTGGATATAAATTTTCAGTTTTCTTAAAGTGAATGGGGCTTTTATACATTTTTGGTGCTACAATGAACAGATCAGGTTTTGCTAATCTATAATCAGTCAGATGTTTCTAGATAGCTTTATGAAGAATGATAAACAATGAGCATTTGTTATAATCTTTTCTTTTAAACATATAGTAATACATTTTGTTTAATAAAATACCTCTAAATCTTTTCCTTCCTCCATAATGTGTAAATGTCAAATGATTGTAGGATCCTGATAGAGTGAATAATCAAGATGAGGGCAGGAGGTATTTAAATCCCTGTAAATCCAATTAAATTACAAAACTGGCTTCATATTGGAGAACTTATTTTGATATTGATGATTACATTTATGGTTTAAAAATGTCCTTGTGATTCTCAGCAGATGTTAAAAATGTGTGAATTAAGAAGTGTGACATTTTCTTTTCATCCTAATGGGTTCTCTCTCCCATTTGTATCACAGCTGCTTCTGATGACAGATGTTTTAGATATGCAGATTGTGCCAGCTGTACCGCCAATACGAATGGGTGCCAGTGGTGTGATGACAAGAAATGCATTTCATCAACCAGTAACTGCAGCATGGTTAGTATTTATGGGTAGATGATGATGTAGCTAACACTGCTACTTTATAATCATTAGCTTACCTGTATCAAGACATTTAGAAAAGGGAAAGGGGAGAGACAAAATAGAATTATGGTATTAAGAGATATAAACTACTATGTATAAAATAGATAAGCAACAAGAATATATTGTACAGCACAGGAGTTTATAGCCATTGTTTTGTAATAATGTTTAATGGAATATATAATCTTTAAAAAATGTTGAATCATGTTGTACACCTGAAACGAATTCAATATTGTAGTAAGTAAGTGAAGTCGCTCAGTTGTGTCCGACTCTGCGAACCCATGGACTGAAGCCTACAAGGCTCCTCTGTCCATGGAATTTTCCAGGCAAGAATACTGGAGTGGGTTGCTGTTTCCTTCTCCAGGGGATCTTCCTGACACAGGGATCAAACCCTGATCTCTTGCATTGCAGGCAGACGCTTTACCATCTGAGCCACCAGGAAAGCCCTATAAAATTTCGTTTGCAACCTCTTGGGCTGTATAGTCCATGGAGTTCTCCAGGCCAGAATACTGGAGTGGGTAGCCTTTCCCTTCTCCAGGGGATCTTCCCAACTCAGGGATCGAACCCAGGTCTCGCACATTGCGGGTGTATTCTTTACCCGCTGAGCCACCAGGGAAGCCCACGAATACTGGGGTGGGTAGCCTATCCCTTCTCCAGTGGATCATCTTGACCCAGGAATCGAACCGGGGTCTTCTTTACCAACTGAGCTATGAGGGAAGCCCCCAAATTGTAAGCCAACTATAAAAAAAAGACATTTAGAAAATGTGTATGGCATCACTTACTTCTTGATACGTTGTTGGTCAGTCTAGATTCCATGTTGAATCCAATAACCTTTACTTTTCATGGATAAGATTGGGAAAATTCTTTCAAAACTTAATTTAAAAGAAGACTGTAACTATAAACATTGTCTTCTGTGCTGATAGAAATAGGAATGTGTAAGTAAGTATTGAAGTCACTTCTTTGAGAATCTTGTCAGACATGTATTAATAGTGTTGTGACTTAGGTTTTATTTATATACTTTGTGTGCAGGCTTAATCTGAAGTGTTGATAGTAGTAGTTTTCATTTTATCTTTAAAATCATCTATAGGTCTGTATTTTAAATTTAAAAATTTGTCTTTAGATCTGTGGTTCTCTGAGTCAATTCTGTCCCCCATTGGGACATCTGGCGATGTGTATTTTTTGGTTGTTTTCACAACTGTGGGACTGCTACCAGGATCTAACATAGAGAAGCCAGGGACACAGGTAAACATCCTACAATGAATGAATAGCGCTGACACAAAAAATCATCACCTGGCTCAAAGTTTCACTAGTGATGAAGTCAAGAACCTATTTTAGGTAGACTATTGAAAATATTAAAAAATTAATATTGATAGATTAAAATAGATCAAGAGGAGTAAAAACTAACCTTTTAATGGATAGCATCAAAATATTCCATGTTTTTTAGATGTCAAAAAATTGAAGGAAAATTTTTTTAAATTATTAAGGATTGCATTCAGTAGGATTAAAGATTCTCTTATTGGAGTGTAGCTTAAATAACTAAAAAGTTTCCATAGAGATTTTAAACTAAATATATGTTAATTTTTTCTTTTTTTGAATTTTTATTAAGCAAGGAAAGTATCCACTTGTTTTTCAAGATACCAGGCAGAGTTAAAAGGTAAAGAAAAGGGAGTTTGACGTTATCTAAGATTTTTCTCCAGTAGCCAATCATATTTTGAAATAAAGCTTTATGATTCTAAAATAATATTAAAAACTTAAAATGAAGGAAAACTTTGAATTATTGACTAATTAGATTGAACTCTTTTGTTTTTATACTTACTGTATTGGTGTATACTTTGCAGTGATGTGTTGCTTTAATAATAATAGATACTTCAATTTTATTTGAGTTTGAATGTTAATAGAACATGACTCACTTTGAAAGTTTGAATTACTTTTTTATATTTGCATAATATTCATCTAATGGGAGTTATACTAGTGAATAATGTGGACCTGGTAGCAAAGTAAAATAAAACATGGGAATAAGGGACTAAAATGGAGAATGTCATTAGATAAGAATTGCAAGCAGATTTTATTTAAAACTTTATTTGATAACTCTAATTTGTATTTAGACATTTACACTATGTGAAAATACATGTCTCAAAAATTGTATTATGCAAATTACTATAAAGTATTTATTTTATAAAGTGGCTTTTTCCTTTAGAGTTTGGTGTTGATAATGTGTTAAAAAGGAAAGCACTGGGTGAGATAGTACAAGTGAACAGATGGAAGTCTGTTATAATTTAGACTTTGATGTAATGTGTCTTTTGGACAGTTTTATCAGAATGTCTGGTGATTAAAATAAACCAAATGCTAATAGATTCAGAAGGGTCTATGATATTTTAGCATAAATGATGTCCATTGATATTCTCTTTCATTATTTAGTCATTTTTACTGCATGTTGCATATTTCGTGCTCTAATAGTCCAAATAACTGCTTTCTTCTTGCAGATTTTCATTTTAAATTTACATCGAGATATATTAGGGTGAAGATGAGTAGAGTACTGGTTATTCTTCATAGTCTGTTTATGAATGTGCATCTGGTTCATTAGGCCAAAAAATGCCAGCCATGTTTCAGAGTAGCAGTCAGCTTTCTTCTGTCATTGAATAAATTGGCTCTGTGTGTGATGGAAATACAGTTTGGTCTATTGTACTGGCTCAGTATCAATAAATGGTTATACTGTTCATATGAAGAGCAGTAGAGTTAATTCGATGGTGACTCTACCATTGTTGTTCTAAAGATTGGCATTAAGTTCTCATTCTTTCTCTTATTCTAATACGTTGTTTAGCCATTCTCTTGTCTGTCTTATAGGCTACTTTATTTATCAGATGATTCAAGTAAATTGATTTGTTTTCAGTTATGTGACAAACGTTTTGAAGTATAGTAATCCTATAGAATAATACTAAGATTTATATGCTATATGAGGGAAAAAAAGCTATGAATCAGAAAAATAACATTAAGAAAATTTGCAAGTTCCTAGTGAAAATGATGGTTGAATAAGACTTGCAGTACAATTTGGGCTTTAAAAAATGTATCTTATGTGATTTTTTAAAAGGAAGAGTAAGATAGAAACTTCTTCAACCATTTTTATATATGGGAAATTATAAGTAAATTTTGATTGTCAAGTTTTTTGTTTGAAAAGAAATATTTATCACCTTTACATGAGCAAGCCTGAGGTAAGAGTGTCTACCTGTGGGAAGGAGAGGGAGCTTATGATGCAGCATGTGCTTTTTTCCTTTTTGTGTGTTTTTTTTTTCCCTCAAAAATGAGTTACAAGAAGAGTTGAGCTCAAAGAATCTGTTTTTCATTATCACAGGTATTGATAATATCATGTGAAATATCAAACCTTAATATAAGTAGAGAACTCACACCAAAGTTCCCATATTGCCTTTTGTTTTCTTTTTTGACCTTTAACCTTCAACCTCTTGGACCTGCAATTAGTTGAAATATGAGTAGTTGTGTAATAGGACTGATCAAAATGTAACTTTTGCAGGTTCTTTTCAACCTTTATTGAGGAAATGTGATAGATACACATAGGAGAAACATCAGTTAACCAAAATCATTATTTAATGTCTGTGGAAATAACCAAAATCGTTATTTAATGTATATGAAGTAAACTTAGTTTAAGTTATTGAGAAAATAATTTATCATTTTAGATTGTATTGGATTTTGATAAAGCATCTCTTTAACTTTTGCTACTCATTATTTCCACTTCATTCCCAGGAGTCTGCATGATAGACTATTATGACTAGAATTCTTTGATGTGATCATTGAGAGAAATGAATGACTTTATTCACTGGCTTTGTTTATTGAATTGGAAGCCTGTTATCAGAGTCAACAGAATAGGTTTTCATTACTTGATTTCTGTTTAAGATTGTGTAATTTGCATGTTTTTTCAATAAGCATACATTCTAATTCCAGGAACTTTGCTTAAATAAATAAATGAATAAAAATTTCTGATTCAGTAGAACTGGATTTGATGTTAGAAGTCTGTGTTGTAAAGTTCACCACGTGATTTATGTATACGCTAAACTTCATGAATCATTACTGTACCAAGGCGAAAGGTAACATGCTATATCTTTTAACTTTGTAGTCTGTGAAAAACTATACCAAATGCCATGTGAGGAATGAGCAGATCTGTAACAAACTTACTAGCTGTAAAAGCTGTTCACTGAACTTGAATTGCCAGTGGGATCAGCGGCAGCAGGAGTGCCAGGCTCTACCAGGTAAAGATTTGTATTTGGTAAATCAGTTTTGTAGTCCACAGATGAATGCTATTTTTGTAAAGAGCATTTAGTAAGAATATTCCATTTTCTAAAATTAAATCAGTAGCAAATAAACAACAGTGTTGGAATAAAGATAGCAGTGTTTCTACAAGAAAGATTTATACATTCATTTCCGATTAAGACTTTCAAGTTATCTTCTGTTTATTACTGTTGACTTGATCCGAATACTTTTCAATTAAAAAATTATATCTTAAAAACATAGAAAATATTAAGTACTCAGGCTAATATCTAAATCTAACAATGTTAACATTTTAGCATATTGGATTTAAGCGCGCTTTATTTTTTAAATTCCAGGAGCAGTTTTTTACTGACTGTTCTTTTTTTATTAGAAATGGTAACATTTATAATAATTATTATATGATTCAATGAGATGCTTAAGGTCTGTAAACCAGAACAAAACTCATTTGAAAAAGAAATTTCAATTTAGTTTTTACAGTTAGCATTCTTCTTAGTAGACCCCAAAGTACTCTTTTCTTTTGAATATGAAAGAGAAAATCAGAAAATAAAAACCTTGTATATATAGTTATCCAGTTCCATCTTCTTGTTATATAGATAAGCTGAGACTGGTTACATAATCCTGCTTAAAAAAAGTGCATGGCTTATAAATGGCAGAGGGGACTAGTAACTGGGTGTTTATCTCTGTTCAGTTTTTTGCCTGTTTCTATCTCATGATTTTTTTTTTTCATTTTTTCATTGAAAAATATCTGAACCTATGTAATTTTAGAAAGTGTTGGAAAATCCCATCATAGGATTTTAGTCTTCTGTATAAGTTCATGTAACAAAATAAAAATTAGATTGCCTTTAAAAGAACCATTGAGATTTTGGAATTTTGTTTATGTACTGAGCTTTTAAGCTTTTAAATAGCGAGGTATGCATGTGTGTTCATTTTGAGTAATTTAGAGAATATTAATGCAGTAGGCAAGATTTGAGAAGCAGTAGTGAGATGACACTAAACTTGAAAGTAATAATTTCTAAGTGTTAAAGTCTAAAAGCTACATGTAGATCAATAAAATTACTTATAAAGTCTCTTTAAAAAGACAGAGTAAATCCTGGACTAAAATAAGAGTTGACTGAAGGAATATATATATAAAGGAATATTATTCAGTAAGAAGAGAATTTGATTACCAGTGGAAATTTGGGAAAATAATAGTGAAGTTATATTTAGTAATACTCATCTACTCTTGCCTGGGAAAATATTTTGGTTTGGCCTAAGTGTTGTACTTGACCAGGTTATTACTTTGGAGAATAAGAAATATAATAAGCTATTTTATTATACAGTAACTCCCCTTGTTCTGTATTCATATTTACTAAGAACCAGCTTGGTGTTATATGTAGTTTGGTTTCTGTTCAGCTTGTCTCAAGGAAGTGAATGCTTTAAATGGAGAACTCAGTCTGTAGTAATTGCCTTTTTCCATGAAAATTTGTGAATTGCATTTTTTCTATTGATCTCATGTAAAATTGGCAATTTGAATTTATCAAGCTTAACCTATTTTAAAAATTAACTACTATCCTAAAGTTGAGGTAAGACATCAAAACATTTGGTTCAGTGCTTTGGTTTAGTTTAGCCTCAAAGGCCAATGCGTTACTTGCATTTGTATGATGCGTTAACCAAGTATTTTTGATCTTATAAAACAAAAGATAACCACAACTAATGTAAATCCTTCCTTGATTCAGTAAGGAAAGAAAAAGCTGAAATTTAACAAAAACTGCTGTACTGTTTTCCTTGAAGTAATTTGGTAGTTTAGATTTCAGAAGACAAGGAAGATTGCTGTATGTGTAGCTTGAAAATGAAAACAGAGGTGTTTGAAGTCTTATTAAATGACTGGTGTATCGGGTGCTTACTATGTTCCAAGCACTATGTGTTATTCTCATTACCTAGTTTAATAGGACAGTAGTTATTCAAGAAGCAAGGGGCCCTGTAATACTAAGATATTGTGTGCTTCTGTAATTCTCATTCTGTTACAGGTTTACTCTGTATTAATAGTTTTCCAAAGGCTACATAGTATATGATTCTAATAGATTGAATGTTATATTAAACCAACATTAAAGGAATTTGCAAAAATACAGAACAAAGCCACCCTCTTAACTCTTTTGTTCTTTGGAGACTCTAATTAAGAGAAATTAAATATGCTATTTATTTTAAGTTGTTATGTGTTTCCTGAACATTTTTTAATGAAAAATTTCAAACATTTTTTATGAATTTTTTAATGAAAAATAGAATTGTAGTGAGGACACTCAGTACCCATGCCCTAGATTCTGCAATGCACAGTTTACTCTGCTTTATCTCTGATTTCTCTGCCTATCTCCATCCCCTATTCATTTATCAACCCATCTCAATTTTTGATGCCAACACCTAATTGGCATCTCAAGGAGAAAATGTGATGATATTAATACATCTTCTTTGGGTGTGTAATAATAGCATTAAGGGGCAAGACATCCCAGAAACTGGAAGAGTAGGTTTGTAATAAAATTTTAAATGAATAAATACATGTATTTTTAAAAGATTAGTTTTAATTTTTAATATGGTCAAGCTCCATAGATATAAAATGTATAAGGAAAATTCTGTGGCATTCTCAATAATTTTTAAGAGTTTAAAGTGGCCTTGAGACCAAAATGTTTGAGAACTGCTGCTTTATAATAATTCCATAAAGACTGAACTGCTGCATCCAACCTGAAAGGGCAAGAGGCCCTGATATATTTCGTGATATGAAACTAACGGATCGTCAAGTCAAGCTTCACAGATTGGTGTGTCAATAAAACACCTCAGTGTTAATGTATCCTAGAGCAGAACTTTATATTGAATTTAGAAGTCTGTGTATTAGAAAATAGACACTGTTTTAAGTTCAGTTAGGAGCCTAAGGATAAACCACTGTTACTGAATAGTATGTTTAAACTTTCAAAAGACCTGAAAGGTTGTGTAAAAATAAATATTTGAAAGCAAAGTTTCTAGTTTCTTTACAAAGTGTAAATGAAATGCGACTTCATGCCCCATAATTATAATTAAAGAATCAAAGAACCCAGCTTATATGAAGTAGTACACCTGGGTTAAGGAGATTAGTTAATCTAATTCCATAGCCCAGAGGACAGTTATTAATAGCTACACTTGTAGGAATAACTTTGCTTTTGTTGTGTGCTGGTTATTTTTCTACTAAAGTGATCTTGTATAAAGTGGACCTTGCGACATATAAATGTAGTAGTGATTTCACTTGCTGCAAAACCATATATCAATACACTAGATTTACACGGAAGACCTAACAGTCAACAGATTTTGACTGATGTTACAGAGCCGTAGCTTTTCTTATGTTTAATAATTAGAGAAAAAATTAGGATCTTCTATTCTTATTCTTCACCAAAATATTAGTCAAATTTTGTTTAGTATGATACAAGGATATATTTAAATTTTATCATAAAAATTATTTAAGCAAATCTAGTTGTATTTATTTAGCATTCTGAAATAATTGAAAAATACGCATGTGTTTGGATAATCAAAAAATAAGACATGATTTTTTTTTTTTTTTTGACTAGCTCATCTTTGTGGAGAAGGATGGATTCATGTTGGGGATGCTTGTCTTAGAATTAATTCCAGTAGAGAAAACTATGACAATGCAAAACTTTACTGCTATAATCTTAGTGGAAATCTTGCTTCATTAACAACTTCAAAAGAAGTAGAATTTGTACTGGATGAAATACAGAAGTATACACAACAGGTAACAACTATATTTGTTTTTATATGGGAATATGCTTATAATCATACAGCTATTGGCAATGAGTCATTCTTTTTGTTTTTAAATACATTATTTTTAATAAACCTTGGAAGTGAAAGTAGAACTCATTTCAACAGTGAATAGTCAGGGGACTCATTTCGTACTTGTATTTGGTAACATGCCCCTCCTCACAGATGGCAGTGGTAAAGAGTCCACCTGCCAATGCAGGAGACACAAGAGATGTGGGTTTGATCCCTGGGTCAGGAAAATCCCTGGAGAAAGCAATGGCAACCCACTCCGGTATTCTTGCCTCGAGTACCCCATGGACAGAGGAACCTGGCAGGTTACAATCCATGGGGTTGCAAAGATTTGGACATGACTGAGTACAGCACAGCATTTGGTAGTTTAGTAATTTTCTAAATTGCTTATCTCATGTTTTGCTCAGTAAACCATTGCATTACCTTAGCAAGAAGTCATCTCTTATGAATATACTTTAAAAATTGTGTGTATAATTTAATAATTTGTTTGAAGTGTTATTATTCTCATAACTTAGGATGTCTCTTATAATCAGAACACCTGACCAGTATGTTGGCTGTATTTGTATGTGTGCATTTGTGTGTATGTTGTTTATGTGTATGTTCTGAGGGTTAAAATTTTGAATAATCCTCTTTGTATAGATATGCTTGAAATAATATACAAATAGTTAGCTGGACTTAAACCGATCATTCAATAATGGAAGATTTGGAATATACAACACTTGGAAGCAGTTTTAATTTCCTTGAAAGCTGTTTTATGGAAAATATTTCCATAAAAATGGACTATTTGCTTGGAAATGGTATCAAATATCATTTTACAATAAACTTCTACTAGGAATCCATAGTACTTATTTGCTGTTCTTGGGATGTTAAACTATAATCAACTCTTAGGAACAGATTAAGTTGGAGATTTGGAAATAATTTACTAAATGTAGTTTTGAAATATCTTAGTTCATATACTTACTTAAAGTGTCTTGAAGACATTTGAAAAAATTGAGTAGATTATATTATGCATTGTATTGTTTTAGGTGTACAACATAATGATTTGATATTTGTATTTATTGTGATACATGTTCTTGGATTTTTTTTTAGATTCCACATATAAGTGAGGTCATATGGTATTTTTCTTATCCTGACTTGTTTCAATTTGATCTATCCATGTTCTTGCAAATGGCAAGCTTTCAGTACTCCGTGATCTCACATATATGGTGAATTTAAAACAAACAAACATCCTAAAAACTAAAAAACCAAGCTCACAGATATAGAGAACAGTTTGATATTTGCCAGAGGTAAGGATGGAGGGTGGGCAAAATGGATGAAAGCAGTCAAAAGGTACAGACTTACAATTATAAAATAAATAAGCTATAAGGCTATGATACATGATGTGATGACTATAGTGAATAATATTGTATTACGTATTTGAAATGTGCTGAGAGAGTAGATCTTAAAAATCTTCACAAAAAACTGTGTATGGTGACATACGTTAACTAGACTTATCATTCTACAATGTATACAAATATTGAATCATTATTTTGAATTCTGGAAATTAAAATAATATTATATGTCAGTCATGCATCAATTAATGGGGCTTTCCTGGAGGTTCAGACGGTAAAGAATCTGCCTGCAGTCAAGAGACCCAGGTTCGATTCCTGGGTCAGGAAGATCTCCTGGAGAAGGGAACAGCTACCCACTTCAGTATTCTTGCCTGGAGAATCTCATGGACAGAGGAGCCTGGTGGGCTACAGTCCATGGAGTCACAAAGAGTCAGACAGGACTGAGTGTCTTTCACTTCACATACGTCAATTAAAAGAAAAAGTATAGTCAACACTTAAGACTAGCTTAAGTAGGAGATTTAGAAATAGTTTACTAAATCTAATTTTGAAATACCTTATTTAGTTCAAATATATACTTGAAATATACTAATGTAAACTGTCATAGCATCTATAAGATTTTTGTATTTTGTGTCAAAAGTAAAATTAGAGCTCAGTATAGATTAGTTAAGTGATAAAGCTAAACAATAATAAATACCTCGTATCTGAGGTATGTACAATTTTGCCCAGTGTTTAAAATGTACACACACATATAGACCCCGTGGCCTAATAATCCACAAAGTGGCATGATTTCTATACAGCACTTCCTGATAGCTCAGCTGGTAAAGAATCCGCCTGTAATGCAGAAGAGTGCAGTTGGATTCCTGGGTCTGGAGGATCCCCTGGAGAAGGGATAGGCTACCCACTCCAACCAGCTCAGCTGGTAAAGAATCAGCCTGCAATGCAGGAGACCTGGGTTCGACCCCTGGGTTGGGAAGATTCCCCTGGAGAAGGGAAAGGCTACCCACTCCAGTATTCTGGCCTGGAGAATTCCATGGATTGTATATAGTCCATGGGGTCACAAAGAATCAGACATGACTGAGCAACTTTCGCTAATGGAGGTATGGCTGTAATTCAAGTATTGCTTTGAAAATGGTATTAGATTTCAGTGACTTTTTTCGACCTTAGGTTATGACTTTTATTTGGGCAAGGAGTCTTTTTTTTTTTTTTTTTTCGTGTGATTTTATTTTATTTATTCC